AAGGATCCAGACTGTGCCATGACAAGAAATGCAAAACCTGCCCCCACATCTCCACCACCCCCACTATTACTACACCCCACAACAGAGCCATCAGCATCCCAGGATCTTACAGCTGCACCTCCAGGAATGTAGTATACCTCATCCAATGCACCAAATGCCCTGATGGAAGATATGTAGGAGAGACCAGACAACAACTGCGCACCAGAATGAATGCACACCGGAAATCCATCAAAGACAGAAACACCCAATTACCGGTGGGGGCGCATTTCTCACAGGAGGGCCACTCTCTCTCCAATCTCTCAGTCCTGATCCTCAAGGGAAATTTACACAACACATCCCAGAGACGAGCCTATGAGCTCCATTTCATCAACCTGCTGGATACTAGAGATCAGGGACTAAACATAGACATTGGATTTTTGATACATTATAATCTGCCTGGCAACTGACTCCCCCGCCCAGCCCAGCCCCTGGCTTCTTTACTTTTCATTCCATCCAGGAAGAGCACACACCAACTGCTGCAGCTTCCTGAGCCTGACGAAGGGTTTTTGAACCCGAAAGCTTGCTTAATAACTATTCTCCAACCATTTGGGTTGGTCTAATAAAAGATATCAAATTCACCCAAGGAACCTTGTCTGCCTATAAACAATACCTGAACACACAATAGAATAAATGGAGCACCTGCCATGATCCAGAAAATAGTTATTAAAAAAAACGAAACCCACAGTCAAATATCAACCCTTCTGTGCACAAACACTCATGTATTGTTAATGCTCTGCATCTGTACTGTCTACTTAAAGGCTTCAGAATTTTTCCTTCCTAGCCATTTTGGGAATACTAAGTCATGTTTTAAATGTGGAGAGGAGCAGGACTTTGTTTTTGCATGATGGAGCAGAAGCTGAAGTAAGTCCCTTCAGTTTACTTGTTACACATAGGCACTGAGGGATCCAAACTCTGACTGACAGCTGCATTGGAACTTGGCAGGTACCTGACACTTGCCTGTAAAATTAGTCATCACAAGTGCTCAGGACTTATGGCTCACATTAACAGCCTTAGATGTTGTAGGACTTGGAATATAATAGCTCACTGAACTGCACTGCAGATTTTCAAAATCCCTGGCATACAAGCCTTCACTACGTGCTCCCTGAATAGTTTTTTTCCTGCCAGTCTATAAGATGTGAGCCTGTGACATCTGCAGTGCTTACAGTATAGTGGCATTCTAGCAGTAATCAGTGGGCCTTGAAGCTCCTACCCTTACTGAGTTCAGGGGAAGAGCAGGGCAGGATTTGGAGAGTAACAAGGAGAAGAAATATGGGAGGATGACATTTGGAAGAGATTTGGAAATTGGTAAGAAAAGAGCAAAGAACTACAGAGGAGTTGGCAAAATAAAAGATGGAAGGCAAATGACAGGAGAAATAGAGGCAGAGAAATGACATGGGGAAGAATTTTCAAGACCAGTGCAGAGATGATAATGATTATGATTGTGGTCAGTGAAAAATCAGTTTCTT